AAATTCTGCCAGTTTCTTTTAGGGGCTCTGCATCACCATACACACCACACTTGTATATATCTGAATTAAGCTGTTGGGATCCAGATTCAGTTGCTGCACAAATCTGGCACCTACAGTTCTCTTTGATACCAAAGGTCACTGGAGGAAATGAATCATCTCATGTGGTGATCATTTACACACCAAGTGTGGTTTCCAGCATAGGAGTTGCTCCACATGGCAAACAGGTGATGTCAGGAAGTGATGACTAAACAGTGCACATCTGAGATGCATTGACTGGAGATCTGGTCAAGGAACTCAAGAGACACACTAGTGCTGTTTGATCTGTGGCATTCTCTCCAGATGGCAAACATGTGGTGTTGGGAAGTGTTGACCAAACAGTGTGCATCTGGGATGCATTAACTGGAGACCTGATCAAAAGTACCCTTGCTCTCCCCCACTATGACACCTCATGACCTTCAGAGATTTGCAATAGATAAGATAGTGTAGATATGATATATGATAAGATAATGGGTGAAAGTAACAAAGGATCAGCTCAAAGGGAGTCCCAGTGTTGGTGCAGTCAAGCTTGACCCTCTGACCTTTTGTTGGGGTCAAACCTCAGGGTTTGACTATCATCAAAGAGTCAAGGCATGATATCTAGGCATGGAATACCATCATGTGTATGATGCAATCTCAATTTGATGTATCTAAATCTTGTTTAACTAGGGATGAAGCTTCAGTTTATGAGGGATATATAAGTTTCAAAGTCATTGCAGTTGTTGTTGTTCTGCTTCCTCATCTCCAATGCCAGATCCTGTGTGGCAACATTATCACAAGGGCTCAAAAAGATATCATCTAATCTCCCTCTTGATCTAACTGGGTCACACATTATCTTTGACTTATTGGGGTCAAGAGTCATGACCTTTCAGGTCAAAGGGTCATGAAGGGGTTCAAACCCCATCAAGGCCATTAGTGAAAGGGGCTGTCCAGAAGCCTTTAGCAGGGTAGAATCATCCATTCCAGACATAAGTTTTAAGTAAAGAAAACATGGCATGTCTGGAGTAGGGTTTGGACACAGTTACAGCTGGGAATCAAAGGATTGAGATGTAGATTGTGATTAGATTGTTCAAAAACTCCATATCAACTGTTTTTACAGAACACTCAAACACCATAGAAAGCAAAACAGCATGAAATAATGTATCCTTGCAGATGTTTATAGAAATGAGCAGAGAATGTAATGATCATGAATTCAGCAAAAAATGACATGAAATAGACTCAAACCCACAGCCTTGACAGATGATGTAAGGTAGTATAGAACTACACTCTTACAGCAAGACTACTGAGCCATCTGAAGAGTCTATGTATATAGAAATCATGACCCTGACATGATTGATATTTCCTTTTTGGGTTGCCATCACCCTTCTTTGGAAGTGTCATAGTGGGGGAGAGGAGGGTTAGCAATGCTTCATAGTACAAGGTGCACAACAACACAATCATAAGTCAGTAATATGCACAGATGTGTTCCATATGTTACTCCAATGATTTGTTACATAGAAACCCACACTGTTTTCCACACCTGACCAGTAGTGAAAAGTGGAATTTCCATGTGAGTCTGGAGTGAACTGATACACTTAATTCTGATTCCACACCATTCATGCACATTTTGCAATGTAATTTTCCCATTGGCAAACTTTTTCTTTTGAGATTCTGGCACCACTTTTACCTATTTGGATGCCAGATAATACATGCAAACAGTGGTGAGAAAGGCACCAGCCAGCTTTTTCTGGTTGCTGAGCTTTTAACTCCCTCATGATGGCCAACGTGGGGATCAAACCCAAGACCTTTGCATTATTAGCACAATGCTCTAACTGGCTGAGCTAGTTGGCCTGTGGCACGTGTTCACCTCCTTCTATGTGAATTCTCCTCTCCATACACAGTCTACATTCTATTTATCTTACACTGACACTATATATACACATGCTTATACCTCAACAAACACTCTATAAATGACAAATCCCCCCTCCCCACTTCTAAGGTGCACCTCTGTCCCCATGCCAATGAAGAACATATCCCCCAGCTCCACCTCCAGGTTGCCCCCTTCCCCCTGCTCTCTACCCCACAAGACAGCACCCGCACCATCCATGACAATGGAGATACTCCACCCATCAATTGCGCAGTGTGTCTCCTTGCCCTCCTGAGGAAGTTTGATCTGGACAATGGAAAATTCAGGGATTGGGTGGTCATATAGCATGCTTGTGCTTGGTGTCTGTAGTGAAGAAGCAGCAGGAGGGGAGGGGAAGGGGGACAGTGAGACAAGTAGCTTGGATGCAGGCATGGAGGTGTACATGAGCATTGCAATGAGGTTGGGTATGTCCCACAGATTGGGGGTGAGCCCCCATGTTGTCTGAGTTTGCCATGCATTCTGTGTTCCTGCAAAACATAGTCAATAGTCAGCATATTTTTTCTTTACACAAAGGTGGAGGACATGCATGTACCCCCACTGACATACACATGGAGGTCCCCCATAGCGAGGAAGATTGCCTCGCCCAGCTTGAACCTGACAAAGTTAAGTACAAACACACAGAACATGCCTATGTTGCCAGGGAACTGCTTGTTGCACCACAGGAAAAGGTCCACAACATTGCGCTCCTCCCCAGGGTGCATGTTGCTCATGGTATAGCATGCAACTAGCATGGTGAGCAGGGGCTGGTACGTGCCTTGGGGTGAGGTCATGAGGGCTTCAAAGAGGGTGTGCAGGGTTGCTTTGGAGTTGGAGGAAGCTTGGAGAATGGAGAGGGAAATGAGAGCAGCAAACTCAGGAGTGGAGGAGAGGTAAGAGGCAATGGAGGAGAGTGGGTGGAAGCTGCACATTGCAATGAAGGGTGTGAGCACAAGCACCATTGTTTGGGTTTACACAAGTTGGCCTATCTCAATGGAGAAGGCTTGTGCAATGTACCCTTATCACATCAAGCTGGACTTGCCCACAATGGTGGGCCAGATGAGGTGCAGGTTTTTTGCCAGGTGGTGTTGCTGGTAGCACAGATGTGGGAGCGTGAGCTGGGGTGTCCAGGGCTTGGTGTAAGGGTCAGCTTTGTCAATGGCAAACTAAGCTGGGACACAGCAGCAATATTAGATTTTGAGGTGGATGACAGTGTTTCTATGCAAAGTTCAGAAGAAAGTCACAGAGGGGCACAGAAACCAGTTGCACTTGCTCTTCTGATGCAAATGCAAATTTGAGTCAAACTGCATGTTGGGGTGTGAACTGCATGCAGGCACAGCTGGTATCATAATTTGAAAGACTCAAGCCATGATTGACTTGGTGCATGTGGAAGGGTCAAAGGTTGGTTGGCTGAGTTTCACATGGTGTTTGTTAACCCAACTTTGTATTTCATCCATGACATCATCCAGTTGTCATGTATGAGCACTACTTTTTTTGTGAATGAACATTCTCTAAATATTGTCAACCAACACTGCTATAATTGAACATGAACATGGCACACAGTGCCCTTCCTCTTTTCAAGGATTGAAGGCAAGCTTTTGACTCAAGCATGTGGTGGTACACAGTGGGCAAGCCACTGTGGGTTTACTATTCTCTTGATTGACATGCTGTTTAATGCAACTCATCTGTGCAGACAAAGATTTCTCAGAGTTTCAGTATTCAGATGGACAGCTCAGATCCCTGACAAGCATCAACAACCAAACAAAATTGGTAAACACAAGGTACCTGTAAGTCACAAAAGCAATTCCCTTGCTGTCCACAAACCAGTACTCTGTGCAGCTCATAAACCAGCACATTGATAGGAACCATTGGCCAACATTCCAGTAGTCCCAAGCATGTTATAATGATATTGCCTTCCAACTTATGGTCAGCTCATGAGTTTTCAATTTGGCACCATACAACATCTCCCTCTAGCCTCAGGCCTTCAGTTTGGTCTTTCAATCCTAACAAAATGTTCTGGACCCTTCCAGCAGCTTCATGCTGCCCAACACCCACACCCACAATATCCTTGTCCTTCTCAACCTTGCCTCTGGAATTAAGAGAACTCACTATATACCCTGCTATGCTCCTCCACAATTCCCAGTGCAACAGCTATTGTAAGGCAATCATTACCAGTATGGTATGGATGCATTGATCTCTGCAGAAAGCCACCACCTCACATCCAATGTCTGCATCCTCCATGAGTGGGAGGATATGGTTATTTTTCTATAGTTGGTAAAGGCCCTCAAGGATCAGTTTGCATGGGAGCTGACCATGGTGCCAGCTGAGGCGGCTTCTAGAGGAACTGGTATGACCACCTGCAGTAGGCGTAAAGCAAGTGAATATTCTTGATATTTCAATGTGATCTCTGTGCCACACATGCGCTCACATAGCTCAGGATAAAATGGGAGTTTTCATGCATGCCAGTGCACTGATATTTATTAAGATCCCTGTCACCCTCAAACTCAGTGACTCCATCAGAAAGGGCAAATGCCTGCCTGTCTTTGGCCACAGTTGTGCATTATCATATCTCTGTGTTCCCAAGTCTGGATATCAGGGCTTATGGGATGAAGGATCTCGACAATTGGTGTCTGTGTCTACAATATCTTGAATGTTGTAAGGAATGTGTTTCCTTCTTCAATTGAAAGTATTTCCAACCAATATAGCTATATACAAACATTCAAGTTCAAGCTGGTAACTAAAATTGAAAATGTCAGTAAAGATCAATGAGCCCTTGTATATTCTTCCTCACCTCTGCGTTCAACTTCCTTCTCACATTTAAGAGATATACTCTATCTGACATGCTGTAGGGGTGGACACTAGTATCCAAGGCATATTTTTTGTGGTTCCATGCCACCTGCACTCACAGACAGAGGTTATTCCAACCTATGAGGACACCACAAACAAATGTTCACTGGGCTTACTTAGGACTTCCCAGTAAGTTGTCCCTCCAATGCCAACCAATGAGTCTCACCTGGAACAGAAAGAAGACCCCAAAGCTGTTTCTGAGTTGCTGGAGATGAGGCCTTACAGGCCAGACCCAGTCATAATGGTGACTTGATGGTCAAATCTATAAGCAAGATAGAACAGATGCATACAACAGGGGGTGAGGGGGATGCTAGGCCTGCAGATGACATATAATTTCTGTCGCATTTACACATGTTCCTATAATTTCCAGCTGGACATGGGTGTAATTGTCCATGATCTGGTGCAAGGTCAGAAGAGAGTGGCAGAGAGGGGCACAGAAACTCATCACACCTGCTCTTCTGATGCAAAAGAGGGCAGCTTCAAATTTCAGTCAAACTGCATGCTAGGGTGCATGAGCTGCATGCAGGTGCAGCTGTCAGATATGGAGGAGAGGCAAAAAGTCAGAGCAATGCACTTGATGCAACACAAAAATGGTCATCAACCCCACATCTGCATCTATGTACTCATTCATCAGCCTTCTCTCCCTTTGCAGGGGACTTTAGAGTATCGCATCTTAGCGACACTCATCTTTGCACATTGTTTGGCTGTGTTTGTCAAGGGCCCTGGTCATGTAGTCATTCACAAGTTGTCAGCAGCAAGTGAGATAAGGAACATGTTTAGTCATATTTGGCACATCTGCATTGTGTGTGAGAGCTTGGCTGTGGCAGTCAGGCCACTCCAACATACAATGAACATGGTTGTGATAGTGGTGGTGGTGGCAGCTGCAAACAATGAGTGTGCACAAGCCAAAATTAGCAAGGTGCATGAAATGCAAACTCCACAATGGCAGGGCAAATCTTCATCAAAAATGAGGGGAAGGTTGTTTAGTGAGTGGGTGCATCATTTGAAGTAAAGTATTTGGGCAATGCTGTGAAGGCATAGCCCACTTATGGTTGACCAATGATGTGATGGCAAATGAGCAATGAAGCATGCAGTTTGTGTTGTCTGTCAGTCACAGTCAGTTTTCCTGCCACAGCGACAGTCTTGGAAGTGACTGCATTGTTACACATTGGAGTTGTTGATTACTTTGAAGTACTGCCTAATGAGCCAAGGCAGTGAAACTACATGCTAAGTGCAAGCCTCCTGTCAAATCTGGTGCCTGTGCTGTGTGGACTCTTCACTCAAACTATCATCTTGCATAAACTCTTGAAACTCTTTAAACAAACTTCAACTCACAGAAACATGCCTCCTGTGGATAATAATCCCACTGCAAAGCCTACTGTTACACCCAATGGAAAGAAGCCATCCCTCCATAAGTGCCTCCTCAATTGGTTCAAGCCCAGGGAGAGTAGCTCTGCTGCACAATCAATGGAAAACCTGACCAGTGAGTATACTATCAGGTAATTTTATTTTCCTTTTGAGACTCAGTTGGCCTATCTTAGCACCTGATGCAAAGTCATCTGCTTTTAAGCGCCTCTCTGGAGCTTTCAAGTCAAAGAGTGGGATTGCCACAAGTAGTGGTACTAATTGTTCAGCAGAGGGTCTAGCCGGTATGTCTATTTCAAGACTTGTTCATACTGTCATTGATGTTCAACTCACCTTTCCTAGTGCCCAGTGTATCTGCTGCTCACCTGGCAGCTAATGTTTCTAGTAAGTATATTCTTCATTTGGCTAGCATTAATTACCAATAGGCTCCAGGTGCTGCCACAACTCCTACGCTTCCCAAAGCTGCTGCAAGTGCTCAAGTTGTCACTAGTATGCACCCTTCATCCTTCTCTTTTACGACACCCAGTACTCACGTTCCACACAGCCATGGTTTCTGTGTCAGCAGTCAATGTCAATCAAGACAGCTCCACAACACCAGCTTGTACATATATTTCATTCTTCAATTTTACTCTGTGTCCTCACACTCTCTATTAGCAGCAGGTCCTACCTTGGTAATGGATGGCAATCAATGCAGCTCTGCAACCTCAGTACTTGACAGTGTTATAGGTGAGAACAA